ACAGATACTGTGTACGCACTCTTTAGGAGCATCGTGAAACGCGAAGAGAAACGCAACGCGCATCATTTCTTTCCTATAGCCTGGCTATTACTTCTCACAAAACAAGTGAGGAACATGAGAGAGAGAGATAAATAGAGAAGAAAGGCAGGGAGGTTAACCAAGCTTGGCTCGGTTGGCTACCCTACACTTTGGGTGGGGGAAAGGGAGAATGATCGAAAGGAAAGAGATAGAAAAGGAGTAAGAAAGAGAAGGATGAATAGTCAACTCGAGACTACACAGCACGGTCACACAGCACGGACTGTGGCACCAACAGTGACCACTTACCGATAAGTTTTGAAATTTCTTGTCCGATAATTCCATCTTGTTCAAATGTAAGAGTATTTGTAAATTACACTAAATTTAGGAATGACCTGAAGTCAGCACTGGCTTTTCACTCGGAAGAGAGCGATGATAAAAAAGCACTGAAAATAAACGCAGTCATTAAAAGATCCTACAAACGAGCCGAATTTACTGTTGAATCCACAAAAAGAGTATATAGCCGTTGGTGGAATGATGAATGTACAAGAGAGCACCGACGACGTCAGGCAGCTTGGAAGCAGCTCTTACATAATCAATCCCCACAAAATTGGGCCGATTATAAATTCATTGCTGCGGGCTTTAAAAGAACGGTAGCTCAAGCTAAACAAGATTATGACAAAAGACATTATGAATACCTGTCGAAGCCTAAACATATGAAAGCACTGTTCCAATATATGAGAGCTCGGAAAATCTTGCCATCACCAGTTAATGTAGCTTGTGATAATCTGTCGGCACAAGAAATGACCACTACCTTAGATGCAATCGGTAAAGGTCTGGAAAGCAGATTCACTTCAGTAGTGCCAAACAACTGGCACAAGTCTACGACAAAGTCTGACTTTGAAGAAGTGACACAGACTGAAGTATTCAACGTGATTAAACATTTACCCTGTGCATCTCCTGGCCCAGATGGAATCACAGTACCCATGATTAAAATTCTGTTCAATTTATCGCCTCGAGACGTCGCCAATGTTATTAACTACTCCTTAAAAAACTCATGGGTGCCGCAGGATTGGAGGATAGCAAAGGTGATTCCTATACTAAAAAATCCGGGTGGAGGATTAACAGTCGATAATATCAGACCAATCTCTCTAACATCTAACATGGTCAAACTGGTAGAGAGGGTCCTACATAGCCGAGTAAGTATCTGGATGGCAGACAATTTAGTAATAAAACCGAACCGAATCGGCTTTCGTAGTGATTTCTCAATTTGGTGTGCCCATGCTGATTTAGAGAGCCGAATACAGCTCGCGCGTAAAAGAAGGCAATACGCTGCTTTAGTAACGCTTGACATAGCCAAGGCGTATGACACTGTGGAGCACTTCATATTGTTAAATACGCTAGAGAGATTGAACTTCCCACAATATTTTATTGAGTGGGTGGCAGAATTCTTAAAATCAAGAGAATTCTACTGCGTCAAGGATGGATGTTCCTCATCTAGATTTAAACAAACGCGCGGAGTTCCCCAAGGAGCAGTCTTATCTCCAATATTATTTAATGCTTTAATGAGCACAATTCCAACAGATCAAGAAGTTACTGTCTACATTTATGCTGATGACATCGCACTCTTTGCTGCTGACTGTGGTATTTACTCACTACAACTTAAATTACAAAGATATATTAACATGTTAGAAATTTGGTTGCAGTCGATTTCGTTATCGTTAAATGTCAACAAAAGCGCGCTCATGGCGTTTCCGCTTGTAGAACCAATTTCAATTTCAATTCTATATAAACAGGAACCCATCCAGCAAGTAGACTCTATAAAATATTTGGGAATCATTTATAATGACAAACTTAACTGGAGTCCACACATAGAGTATATAACTACCAAAGCACAGCGGGCTTCAGGCTTACTACACAAGCTAAGTAACCGGAAATATGGATTACGGAGGCACACCTTGATAACGTTGTACAAGATGTACATGCGCCCCATCATGGAATTCGGCTGCATATTATTCTCGGGTGGCCCTGCTTATAAAACAAAACCTCTAGTTGTCTTGGAGCGAGAAGCACTGCGAATGTGTCTGGGACTCCCTAGATTTGTGGCTATCAACGTATTGTACCAGGAAGCGCGCCTGCCTACACTACTTTGTCGATTTCGAATTTTGACCGTACAAGCATTTTTAAAATTTTATAGCTTACCGGCAAGAAGATCTCAATATGCTTTTATCGCAAACCCAGACGCCTTCTTTCTTGCTCATTGGCCACGGTTTCACACACCTCAGATAATGTTTGTACAAAAAAATCTACAAAGTATAAATGTGAACATTAGAAATGTAATTGAGACTAATGACTCGAATTGTCATGTCATTATTGAGTATGATGATATATTCCCCCAAAACACCAAATTACAATCCCTCAAATTTTTAAATAACATATTATTAGATTACTTGGAGCATGCAGAAACTAAAAATATAATAGCCACAGATGCTTCCGTAAATAATCAAAAGGCAGGTGTAGGCATTGCCTCTGATTTGCTTGACTGGTCCTTTTCAGTGAGACTGCCTGATTTTACTCCAGTTTTTGAAGCGGAGCTCTTGGCGATTATTTTAGCTCTTCGAAAACTTCCATCAAATCAAAACAACGCAGTAATAATGACGGATTCTCTTTCAGTTTGTGCAGATCTGACGGCTTCAGAGAACTCTCGAATTCTAAGCACATTCAAAACATTAGTACCCCTGCAGTTGAGACTCCTGAGATTACTATGGGTTCCGGGACACTGTGGATTAAGATTAAATGAATTGGCCGATTCCTTAGCACGAGCCGCATTTGATGGGCCAGTTTTGTCCATACTGCCAGATGTTGAATATATCACGGCAATAAGATATCGAAAATCAGCAATCTCCACTGATACGATAGAAAAAGTAACTACACGGACAGACTATAACCACCTCATGTTTCCATGGCAACCCCACTGGAGTCAGTCCAGAAAGCTCGAAGTCTTAATTACTAAATTTCGATGTCGTGTCCCCCCTCTAAACCTGTATCTACACAGAGCTGGTCAGACAACATCACCCCTCTGCGCATTCTGCGGAGAAATGGAATCACTAGACCATTATTTTTTGTATTGTCGCCGCTACTAGATACTTAGAAAAAGGTTACTAGTTATGCCATTTCGGAAAATAGGCCTTAGATTGACGGCGGAAACGGCGCTAAGCTTTGGCGCCTCAGCTTTGGGACATTGCCACAGGGATGCTTTCAATGCCATTTGCGATTATATTCAGGCAACCAAGCGTATACCTTTGTGATCTTCAATCAAAAAATTATTTATTACTCCCCAGGGCAGAGTGAAGTAAACGCAGCTGAGTGGTAATCATAACACCTCAAATCTCAAAATTGCTCAACTTGATTTTTTTTCGTTTGCTCTTTTTATGTTGTTTTTATTTTTACATTAGTCTTATTATAATGCCCATTCATTACACATAGTTAAAATGATCACAGAAAAACTGCACTACACTTTCTTGGCCAATCCCCCTGAGTGGGTATGAGCCAGCCTCCCAGGGAAACAAAACAAAACAAAACGGTCTCACACTGTTCTTTCACAAGCGGTCGTGAAGCCCGGTGGTCCTTAAGAAGTACAAGATTTGCCAACAAGGAACATGGAGCGTAAGCCATTATCAGGGCTCTAAAGCTATTTGCTATGAGCAAAGCTATTTATTGTATGATAAGGCGGCGTCTGTTCAATGATAAAGAAGAGGCTTCTGGGTACGCCGGAGGGAGGCATTGCCCGATAGACCGTAAGGAGCTTTGCCCTTGAAACAAGACGGTTTCGCCTTGTGGAACAACCAGAAGTGAGGTATCCTAGCTTCTACCGCTCGTTAACGTTCCCTTGAGAGTTTTCAACTTAACTTCAAAGCAACAGATTTTATTTCTTCTTTTACTTCTGTACGTTTCAAGCCAGTTTGGCTAAGTACCTAAGCAATAGGGACTGGAATTATTAAAACAATAGTGCCACTTGACGATCACAAGAAAGACTTTGCTGGAAACCATGCCTATTTTTCAAACCATGTTAATCTTAAATTCATGAGAAATTCAACTATGTGGGAACGAGTTACATGGCTCATCAGTTTCGAGCAAGAGATTGTGGGCGAACTAGGGCGATCATTTTGGCTTACATTGACTCACATTTTCGTGTGATCGGAATAGCACTGCCCACCTTTCAGCCTTCTGGCACCACATTAAATGGTACGCTCATCGCTGAAATCTATTGTAACGCGGACTGGAAGAGCGAGAAAGAAGAAGAGGTAAACCACCCAACTTCTTACATCTTTAGTTTCTTCACAATGTCAGTTAGGGTCGGTTTCATCTGTACAGATTGACTAATTTAGCTCTCATGAACCGATGATCAGACGATGCCACTTACGGTCGAATGTGATTTCTCTCACAGTCGGGTGATTCCAGGGAAGGCGATCAAGATGGTATGGCATTGTCTCTTATTAGGAAAGGCAATGAAGTGAACGTTTACCCCAGTATCCACAAACGCTCCTCGACTCGACTTTCACCCTTCACTTGACAGAGTTAAGCACTTCGCCGCTGCTCGGCTGAAAATGACGCTACGCTACTCAAGAATCGCAGCAGATTATAGCCGATATGCAGTGACTTTCCGGGCCTAGAGACGGCACTGCCATTGGCTTTCTCGAGTGAAGGTGAAGCGTTGAGTGAAGAGACGTTCTAGAATAAGGGGGTTAGTTTCAGCTGCCAAAGAAACGAAAGTTGCGTGGTATTCGCTGCAATTCTCCGCCGGGCAGAGAGAACTCTTCTCTTGTATGAGGCGTTTAAATATGGTGCTGGACCGAGGGGGCTGATAGTAGGGTCAAGGTGGAAGAAGTCTTAGGAAAACGTGTGAATTTCGTTATGGCCGGTTTGCTGTAAACAAAAAAAAATAAATGAATCGTCGGCACCTGTTTCTGTCCTTTTCAGCTACGTGCACGCGTAATGGGTTGACCCTTCTTGCAAAGAAATACGTGGTACACCAATTTCCTTGTGAACACTGGCAGTGCCGCCGGAGCGGGAAAATGAGAGTGACCAGGTAAGGGACCCTCAAGTGCTCGTGATTTTCGTTGTTCGATATCGCTGTTGTTTAATGCTGAGATAGCCTCAAAATGATGGACTAGGTTAATGTACCTTGATATTTAACAGTAAAAGTATACAGTATACTTGTGCACTGGTAATGCGCTACCTATTTCGGTTACTTTCTTTCATGAATGTTGGAATGATCATGGTATAACTTATACACACTTACAGTTTAATTTGTACTTTGGTCCCGTTAAAAATACAAAAATTTAAATTAGTGACTGCTATCATTGGTCATGACTGACCGACTGTTTCCTGCTACCAAAGAGTAGGGATTCCGCTGAACACTGCCGTGTAGTTCAGAGTACAACCAATGCTTATTATTTATCCGTCTTTATAATAGCACGTACTGCATCGCTTTACGTTCCGAAGAAGTAATTCGCGTAATTCCGGTAAGATATGCACTTACTAAATGATATGCCCCCCCGCGTCTGTGAGAGTAAATGTTTTGGTGTCGTGCTTACTGTGCAAATTGACAACCTCTCCGTAAATGAACTGCGAGCAAAAAAAAAAATGCATTGCTCACAATGCCCTCATTATTGGAAAAGTCCTTTCAAGCCCAAACACTCCCACTTTTGTTCATCGTGTACTTGCATTGATAACAAAGAATCATTCGACAAAAAGATGGTGAAAGGTTCGTTACACTATTGATTGCATAAATTGCAGCAAGCACTCTTAAAAAAATTAGATAATCATGATTGGAGTTATTAATCAGCTGATTGTGCGCGATGCACTGATTCCCTTTGTGTTTCCGACTGCGCGAGCGGAGATAGTAACGCTTAGCGGACAAGCGCTAATTACCGATAAGCTCAACGTCTATTGCTTACATTGTAACGTGTAATTAGGAAATGAGTGGCTGGAAGAAGATATATCGTTTGTACAAGAATAGCTAATGTGCAGAGGAAAGCACTAAGCCGTATTTGAACACGGACAGGTGAGAGGCCCATCAAAGCCGTTAGTATCAATTAGTATCAGTCCTTTGGAATAGTATGACGGTATACAAATAACGCATTTCCAAGCTACTGAAAACCAAGGCTTACAATCGAAGAATCTGAGTGTTTCGAACCCAGATTTCATGTTTTTCGTATAAGAAAACATGAACTGATTTTTGTTTTGTTTTTAATGAGATCGTCACTTTCGACAGCATTGTAATAATTTTCTGAATTACCACTCCTGCTTGGACCGAAAAGGTCTGCAGTATATTGAAAAAAAAAAAGAAATAAAATAAATGAATAAATAAAAAGAAATGAAAACGTTGTACGGAATCGTGTCGACATATAAAAAGCTATCAATGTTACCTTTTTTTTTCTGCATGCAGATGCCGTGGAACTAAGCCGGATCATCCTTGTATACACTGGCTCAACGGAAAGTGGCCTACTTGCTGTTACTTCTATTACTACTGTCGAACGTAACAAAAGCATTATTTAAAGCGATCAATAAAATCGAGTTCACCGTTGAGAATGTCGCAGTGTCTGTGGTGGCGACATTGCATTTTTTTCTTTTTGTTTTTGCATAAAATATAAACCTAATTCCTCATATTTTTACAGGGGCCGAATACTGAGATAGATATTCGGCATAATAACATTCATTTCGCAAGTTCACACGAGGCGTGTCCAAAGATCAATAGCCGCTAATTGGTATGTTACAGCAGCAATCTCAGCCTCATAAACACTAATATACTGCGCATTTCTGACGCAGTTTGTCATTATCATTAAACCCGCGTAATTTGTAGCCATCTATCGGGGTAAATATGCTTGTGCACGTGCAAGTTCGGGTACAGGCGGTCAAAAGATATTGCCGGCCTACGTCGTAACTAAAATAAATTGCTGGATGGGCTCACAACAGAACGAAAAACGTGAACCTTCCAGAGGGAGCACCGTTCCGCCGCTTCTTCTCGGGTTAAACACGCAGGCTGCTTCGTTTGGGAAAATGCTAACTATTGTAGACTTGTAGAAAGAAGGACATATATTGTGCAGTGCATGTTATGAGCCTGGATATAGGCCAGACTTTGTTTACTTAATTAACCGTGAGTGACACGAACTATATTCGATAGTTTTGAAATTGTTCGAAGACCCTGTGGCCCTTTGCGTGAGGCCCGCGGGCTCTGATTTGGGTGCACGTTAAGGAACCCCGTGTGGTCGAAATTTCCGGAGCTCACCACTACGGCGTCTCTCATATTCATATACGGTTTTGGGTCATTTGACCCCACGTCAATCAATCAATGAATGAATCAATCAATCAATCAATCAATAAATCAATCAGTCAATCAATCAAGTCTGTGGCTCTTAATACTATGCATACATTTACCTCAATTCTATGAGGCACCAAGCGAAGTATTCTGGGCGCCCCGTGCTTGTACGCAGAAAAAAAAAAAGAAAAAATGTCAGGTCTGCACAGAGCGCGTGGCACGGTCACAGCGAAAGCTGGGAGAGGGGCCTTTCAGAGCATATTTTTACACTCTTTGGGTAACTGCTGCAAGCTCACTTGAAGCGTGCCCACCACACCATACATCATCACAACTTTCATGTAGGGGGCAGGTATTCTTGTTCTTGTTCATCTTGTCTTCTGGCTCATACCAACTGTAGGGGACTTGCCAGACATTCTCTATCTCATCCTTCGTGATTCTTGGGAGAAGCGTGGTACCTGCTACTCACTCGTAAGGAATTTCGCGCCTTTTTTTTTCATGCTGTGGCTGACTACGATGAAGAATTATGCCTGAAGCTTTTGTAATGGGTTGGATCATTCGATGACCCACTCGTGACGGAATTCGCATTGTGTGACGCCTGGTTATTTATTCTTTTGCTCTTCTTAAACACTTTATTACTCATGCAATTCCTTTCCCGACATAAGGCCTGCCTAAGGTTAGTTTGCAACGGAATTCCAAGCAGCGGTGTGGCTCAGTAGGAGAACACTAAGCTGGCACGGAGGGAACCCTCGTTCAAATCCCATTGTGTCCTTAGTCTTTCTCATTTACCAAGTATTGTTTAGGGGCGAAGCCCCTAAAGGCGTGGGTCTGTCTATCGCTTGTATGCACGTGACCACCTATAGTTCCACCTTTGCCAACTGCCCACTACTTCGTCTTTGCAATTATCCCACAACACCCCATCACCAATCCACCACTTCACAGACCATAAAACAAATACTGTTGAGAAGTACTCAATACGAAATGCAAGATGGTCGTGTACTTAGGTGCGCGTTAAAGAACCACAGATTGTTCCACTTTATTCATTCCTTGTTTCTACGTGACCGCCTAAAGTTCCACCTTTACGAACCGCCCACTACTTCGTCATTGCAAACATCCCACTACGCCCCATCATCGATCCACCACTTCACCGGCCATAAAGCCGTTGTAATAAAGGGGGGACGGAAGAACGGAATGGAAAATATTTTGTATACATATATACAGTGTTTGTCACGTCTTTGATTTTGTTGTGGGCGATGTTCGCGGATGGTTCATGGTTTAGCGATGAAAACCTCCAGCGCTTCGCCCCAGTCATCATCATTCACTCCGTGCATATGATGTGATTTTTTTTTTATGCAGTGCGATATTCGTTACGGGTGGCGTTAAGGCATCGAAAGCTGCCAAGGCATCACAACCCCTGTTGTGATGCCTTAACAGTTTTCGCTGTAATACGCGGCCGCTCACACACTTGGCTGTACGGAGGGCTTTCAGGATCGGGAAAAGCATTTTGCCTACTGGTGCCTAGGTGGATGGTTTCACTCAAATAGCCGGGGGGAGGGGGGGGGTGCTTTGCTCAGGGGTCATACTTTTTTTTGCCCATAATACGGTTCTCACCGCACCATGCTATGGAATGATACACGCAATCCGTGCTCGTGTCACACAAGACGCCTAAGCCAAGAATTAGGTGAACGTCGAATCACAGCTCCAAGCTACAGGAATAGTTCGAAACCACAGGAACACACTCAAAACCAGGAGTACAAGGATGAGACAAATCTGTCTAATATCATGCTCTCTGAAGCACCGTTCGTTGCAGCTCTGATAGACACTAGCGCCAGAGTTCTCTCTAGTGTATATTTAGGAAACTCTACAGGTGAAGGTACAGTGTGGTGCGAATATACTATATAGTGAAGGTTCGTGTCCTTTGTTGTTTGTGTGCATGGTTAAATGTGATGTGTGTCAGTATGTAAATCGATAGATGACGATGGGCGCTCAATTGTCATGGTGATGGGTGCATGCACCGGGTAGCTCAACGTTCTGGCTGATAATGAACGTATCGGCACCAGCCGACCGCGGCGAGTTGGGCTTCGAAGCAGCTCGAAACAACCGCTGCTCACGGTAATAAATTGTGCTTCGAAGCAGCCTGGTCCGAACGTGAAGAAATCGACTTCTGCACCTGACACATGGCTCGACCTCGGGCCATTCTCAAGGCCTGTGGCTAGTGTACTGGTAGGCTGTGAGGGCAAAGATTTTTAACACTGATGAGTGCATTGGGCACGTGGCGACGAGGACGCTGTGTCAAACTTTCGAACATTGCAAACATGGATGATTGAGTTGTGGTGACATTTCTCTTTTTTTAGACTATACGCGCACTCGAATGCCTGACAAACTTGTCAGTTGTGACTAATTATAGTTCAATAAAAGAATTCCACTCAACAAGCTATGTTTGTTTCACTGTAATAGTCGAGCCCTGTCACCTATTCGTTGCTTGTTACAATATACACGCACAAGACCTCACAGGGGTGTTTCTCTTTTGATAAATGTAAATACCAAAAAAAGAAGTAAGTACTACGTAGTATCACAGCCTACAGTACCGAACCGGCCGCGCAATTGTTGTTCTAACAAAAAAAAATGTAAAAGTCTTGAAGTGTTGTTTTGAGGATGTGCTGGGGCTGTTATCTCTACAGACAAGATGGCTGCACTAGTGCCATTCTAGTACGTTAAGAGAACGTTCTGAGGCCGTCGCAATGTCCTCATGAATGCATATTGCGGACGTCCTGAGGTTGTATTTGTGTTGTCTATGCCTATGGTATGACCAATCGAGCACGTACGGCCGTCAGCCACGTGACGAATAGAATTTGCAGTGGCCGCGTTGAAAGCGGATGCTTCAAGTGTTCATAATTGTGGAGAATTTCAAGCGTTTTCATTTTGCTCGTTTATAAATGATGACCTAGAGAGAGAGAGAGAGAGAAACATATCTTCGTTCGGACAGCCACCTCACTTGTCCGTCTCGCTTTGACAAAAAACGTGTCTTCCTTTGTTTGTCACGAGAACTGAAACATACGAGTATATCATATCGCATAAGAGCGGCTTGTATCCGTCACTGACAGTGCTAATTGAAAAAAAAAAATCGCGCCACGTGTAACAGCATAAAGAAATGGAATTTCGACTGCAGTTCGCAAAACATCGTAATTGAGCATGATATCAGTAAAGATAACAAAATAAAGTAGGGTGCAAAGCGGTTTAAGAGCGACAGGTGCGGCTGTCGTGCTCATTTCTGTATGTTTCCTTTCTTCTACTCATCGCAGGATTGTCTATCGTGCAATCGGACAAATGCATTACCCGAGCGTTCCGTTATTAAAGCGTTTGCAGCATAGCCTGTTCTCTTCTGTGTTGCAAAGAACGTCCTCCCACGATGGGAACTGCTTACGCTGCTGCCTTTTTCGTGGCCCTCTACGGTATTGTCTCGGCCAAGCTGGGTCCCCCAGGCGGACCGATGAAGCTGGCGTACGAAGTTGCAGATAGCTACGAGGTATTGTGTTATTTCAAGCAATTTCCACTAGTGCGGCCTCAATTGTTGGGGTTTTACGTCTTAAACCGCGATATGACTATGAGGGATGCCATAGTGGAGGACTACGGCTATTTAGATCATTTGGGGTTATTTGACGTGAGCTTCAATTCAAGTACACGGGCCTCTAGCATGTTTTCGTGCACCGAAAGGTGGCCGCCGTGCCCGGGATTGGACCGCGCGACCTTCGGATGATCATAACTACTAGACTTCTAGTGATTCAGTGGAAATCGTATGCAGGTGCACTACAATACCGCACAGACAGGTAAAAAGGGAGAGAGATGAAAGATATTTAATGAAAAACAGGGAATTCTGCCGGCCTATATAAACTTGCCTACGTGGTACTCTACATAGGCAAATGTGATTAGTACAGAAAGACACTAGGAGCCGGAGGGCAAGCGAATAAAAAGGGATTAAAAAGACCATATTCCGATCATGGTTTAAGTGATAACTGCATGTTTTACATTATTTTGGCTACTGATCCTTACTGTATCAACATTGATGCATTAGAATCAATAGAACATACGTTGTTAGACTGCCAGGAATACAAAGAAGAAATAACTTGTCTTCAAAGTAGAATCTGCCCACCTTCCCGAGCAGCACTAGAGCTCGGAAAAACGCAAAACCTATGTCTTCTTCTTCTAAGCAGCATCGGATAATAACATTTTTGTCCAGGTTCCTCTAGGACATCAACCTAATAGGCAAACAGTAATGTAAGCTGCATCTCAACTACGCTATCAGCATATGCAGGGACACTTTATGCCACCAGCACCTAGACTATTAATACACTCCTTGAAACAAGGCCTAATTCAATAAGTGATAAAGAGTGTGGTGGCATACTTGAAGGGTGTCTTCGAGTGTCCTGAACGATGCGGTGTATAAACAGACAGCGTGATCACACGAATGCCAGTAGCGACCGTCCAAAGACACGAATATAACGCAGCTTCATGCGTTGGGAACCCTCAGGAGCGTACGTTTAACTTCTCATTCGGACTCTCTCACAATCACGTCGTAGTTCAAACGTGTAAGACAACATAAACTAATTATTTATTCTTGTGCTTTCAGCCTCTGTTCTTAAGAGTGAAGGTGTTAAAGCCAGCCGTACAATGTACGCGTTTCACGACAATATAGCCGTGCATGGCAACCAGCGATGCCACAGCTGCCAGAAGATGCCCACCAAGAAATACCTCGTGACGTCATACCGGGCCACGCATGCGTAGTAGCGACAACCTCTACGCTTTACCACTAGAGTTACTGCATACGCTACCTTTGAAGGTAGCATATAGAGTAACTCTATCTACCGCTAAGCCACGCCCAGTGATTAGGGCACGTGGCGATACCGAGTTCTGCCACTCGATCAGACAAATCCATAAAACGAGCCAAGAAAGTACTCGAGAACTCCCGAAGAAGCAACAGCGCATCCTGATGCGGCGGGGATTGTCGCGGTACGAGAACGACAACGGCAGCGACAAGCAAAATAACCTACTGGCAGCCTAGTTCAACGTAATAGAAGACACGAAACGTCGTCACGTGGGCCGGCATCGCTGTGTCTCAAGTCTTACGCAGACTGTTCTCGTAGGGTGGCACCGAATGCGCAACTGATGTCTCAGCATAAGCGTGCGCAGTGTTCCTTTTCAGGAGGGGCCAAGGACCATAGCAGCTACTCCCCTACCTATTAATAAGGGGGCAGCAACCCGCTTATCATCTAAGGCAGTTTCATTTCTCTCTATCTTTCATCTCTCCAACCCCCCCCCCCCATGCGCAGGGTAGCAAACTGGCTGCCTATAGGCTGGTTAACCTCCCTGCCGTTCTCTTTCTCCTATTTTTCTTCCTTCATTAACCAATTAGCCTATTACGCGTTTGTACCTCCTGGAATACGAAAGAAAACAAGCTCCGAAATCACTGAGACAAAATAATTAAGCGATGTGACATGCTACTCACAGTGGCTTGCCTTTGGTCCCAGGTTTCAACGAGGAATCTAAAACGTGGAAAGTAAACCATTCTTGGCATACAGCATCCAGGTTCTTAGACCACGTTCGTAGTGAAAAATCTGTATGGCCATAACACTGCATTTCAGACAACGACGATAAAGGTGTGACTGGGTTGAGGTACGAGGCAAAATATGGGTATAGATTAAAGGGAAAGAGGGTGGAAACGTGTTATCTTCTTTTGGTAATGCTAAGGACACCGCTTCACACCCGTGATTGTCAAATCCCTGCCCAAAGTTATGGCGGCAGGCAGTTGTGAAAATTTTCAAGCGGCGGTGATCCAAGGATGGCCGCGTGCACGATGATGTGATGAATTGATGCGATTACGCCGATCAGGCGTAATCTTTCTTGGCTTATACGTATCAAACGTAAAACCTGCGTCACGCCAACGTGAGGCACGAGACGTCGGCAAAGTGGTCCTCAAACGTTTATGCAGTTGAATTCTGTTCTAACTGTTTTGCTGTGGAGAGGTTGAGGTGCATATTGCCTCGGCTACTCCATATCGCGAAGTTCTGCAGCAAAAAAAAAGAATAATACAAAACGGTGCCCATAAATGAACAATCGAAAAAAAAATATAAGAGCACACTGAAACTAGTTCAAATATCATGTCAATACACAGTTTGCTCACAGCAGTTCGCACTGTCATAAACTGTTTACACGCACACCTTCCTTTTCTACTGTCACTATATGCGTTAACACATTTCATATAGATCCATACCTGGCTGCTTATCATAGGCGCTTATCCATTTCAGTCTCCACTAAAAAGTCTGTCAGGAAGATGTTCGGCTTCTTATGAAGATGCATTTCAGGCCATGGTCCAAGTAACTTCTTCAATGTGAGGGGGCGTCTATGCAAGCTTGCTAATTTGTTCTTTAATTTCTTTATTCAGTGTTCTGTGGTTTTATCCCCCGGCCTCGGGTCTCTTACGTCGGGACTATAAGCCCTTCCTAGACGCCGTATTACGGGCCTGCTGGATGACCCAAATCCTAGCGAGCTTTGATCTGCAGGGGCCATCAGTCCAGCTCACCGACAAAACATCGGAAACAATGTCTTTAGTAACCGCATCACAATCCCTGAGCCCTTGTATTGAGCGTAACGGGTTTTTGCACCACACGCCTTGCAGATACTGTTGTGGTAGATTTCAGGGTAGAGAGAGAGAGAGAGAGAGAGAGAGAGAGAGAGAGAACACATGGAGAAAGGCATGGAGGTTAACCAGGGCTGAGCCCCGGTAGGCTACCCTGCACTGGGGAAGGGAAGAGGGGGAATGAAAGTTACAGAGGAGGAGAAAAAAGGTCATTGACTGGGCCAACGCTTACCAGTTTGACATCACAAGAGATGAAACAGGCCGGTGTCTTTGAGAAGACGCAACATTGCCTTCGTTGCCTTTCGGAAATTGGATGGGCAGTTCCATGGTCCAAATACTTTCTCCACAGTGAAATCACTTCTGTCCAGTTCATTTAAAACACTGCGCAGGTGAAGCCTCGAGTTTGTGTATGCCGGGCAGTAACATAAGATATGTTCAATAGTCTCATCGACGATACCTATGATGCGGTATATGTAGCAATAAAACAAAAAACAGAGACCAAAATGAAGATAAACGAAAAATATAAAAGAAACATTTCTGTCCTCCTGCCCTCTAAAGTGGGGTGAAGGCAAGTTACAGTTGCTCGTGTATTCTTGAGCCCATCACGTGAGCAGCCCATGTGACGCAAGCAACGTGTAGTGTGTTTGTGGTCGTCATTTAACGTGGCGACTATACTGCCCAGTGCAGGCGTTCTCCAACTTTCCCTACTCGGTGGCCATATCGGACTCGGACAACGACACCATGTTCGAGTGCGTGGTCGCCAACAGGACAGAGATCGACCCGGAGTCGCGGACGGCCACCTTCGTCTGGCACTTCCCGGAGACGGACCATTCGCCTGAGTACTGAGCATTCGGCAGCTTCTTGTGCTTCGACAGAATGATTGGTTGTTTGATATGTTCTTCAGAAAAGAAGCTAAAACATGCAATCACGGACGCAATCAAAGAGGACAAGATAACGCAAATGCATTTGCATTGTCTTGTTGTCGTTTCTTATGCGCCTATAGCCTTTTCTTATGTTGAATGCTCACCAACTGCGTTCACCTTTCGCCGCTTCATTGGATGATTGATTGATTGATTAAGTGATTGATTGATTGATTGATTGATTGATTGAATGCTCCGAGGCGTTGACAGTGAAGATAAATTGGGTTGTTCAATCCTAGCTGAAAGATGCATTCTTTCCTAAATATGAGATCGCGCTTGCAGTTTGGCGACCTGTAGCGACACAATCTACATTTTAAACTTGTCTGTTATTTCACATGCAGTGCTTTTCTAACACTGGAGTTCCTATATGTGCAATTCTCGTCTTTTTTGTATTCTGTTTACATTCCTTTGCGAGTCCATATGTGGCACTGCCGAACCACAGGTCCGAAAAACAAGGCCCCCCAGACTCCCGAGTCATGTTTTTGCAACCAAGAAAGGAAAATTAACGTGACTCGTTCTGTTACTTGTGCAGGCAATATATTCCGTTTCATGGAAAGGCCGGATCAAGTCCGGGAACGATGGAAGTTACTGTCGGGGACGGTAAGTCAGAATCATAAGTAGCAGCGTGTTATCGCACGATGCACATTGTTACACCAGTTAGACTTACGGCACCTTCTTCACTTGGTTTTTACGGGATGCTTCCTCAGCTGGCTGTCTGGCAGGCAGCCAGCCAGCCGGGTGGGCTGGCATGCAGGCAGGCATGCATATAGTAGAAAAATCAGCCAGCAGGAGCATTATACGCAATCGCCTGTCCATTTCCAACAAATAGCGACTTTGTGGATTTATACGGGATGCAGTAAGATGAACAGCTCAGCTCAATTGTTCTTGAGCAATCTTTACGACAGTTAATGTATCACGCAAAGAGCCTGTGTTCTTATGACCTAGTGACGCAAGCCAAAATTACGGTTGATGAAATAAGCAACTTTTTACTCCTGCAGTGCTGCTGTCCCGCTGATGCGCCTCTGTTTATGTACCTGCTTTTATATCACCCATTATGCATGACATAAAACCCGCTCTAATAAGTACGCACTATAATTTGAGCATGGCGTCATTTATTGACATGATAACCAAGAAAAAGAATAAACGATACATATAAACTTTCTCTTGAATATAGATTAAATGCGTAAACTTTATGTCGCTTTATTCTCTGCCCTTCTCCAGAGAAGGGTCGCTAACCACGCTCAGTCTTGGGTTAAATTTTTCACTTTCATTCATAGTTCTTTTCTCCCATCTTAATGTGAACAATATAGCAGGAGTTCATGATAAGTGTTTTATAGAAGGTTCTAGCCAGCCTTATGAAGGGCGGAAAAAGAGACGGGGACGAAGACGAAATACCCACAGTAAAGGCGCTTTCGTGCTACTCTTTTTTCCCTGTGTTTCTTTAGCGCTTCTTAAGAATAAACCGTTTCCAACTAGGCCAAATAGCTGTATACGGTAAGCTTTACTAACAGTGCCCCGCCGCGGTGGTCTAGTAGCTAAGGTACTCGGCTGCTGACCCACAGGTCGCGGGTTCAAATCCCGGCTGCGGCGGCTGCATTTCCGATGGAGGCGGAAATGTTGTAGGCCCGTGTGCTTAGATTTGGGTGCACGTTAAAGAACCCCAGGTGGTCGAAATTTCCGGAGCCCTCCACTACGGCGTCTCTCATAATCATATAGTGGTTTTGGGACGTTAAACCCCACAAATCAATCAAGCTTTACTAACAGTGCACGATGGCCCATTTGCCGCCAACTCTTTCCTTCCAGACCCTACAGTCCGGGACGGCATCTTCTACTACTCCACCAAGGACTGCGTCGTAATGGACCTGGAGTATCGCGGACACCGTAAGTGACGCCGTTACATAACGCCCTATAGAGTGGCTGAGCGTAGCAGTGTTTTCTCTTCTAGCAAGACATAAGTCAAAGGACAAGAAACACCAACACAGCCAAGTGCTGTCCTCTAACCGATGTCTGCTAAGATGAACGCCCTACTACCTTGTGAGTTAAAAAAAAAGGCCAACGGAACACATACGACGGAGCGAAATCACGGGGCCAAGTGATGGCGTCATCGATGGTCGTTATCTCATCATCGGTGGCGTCATGTTGTGACGTATGATGACCTCTTGAGATGCAATTATCTCGTGGTTAGAGGCGTGCCGATTCCTTAGGTTGTACATTATTCCCCACATTACTCTTCCCTATTGCGCGTATCGCTCGCTTGCAAAGCCAGTGGTCACAAGAAGCAGTAATCAATTAAACATAGCCTTTTCCCACACTATAAACCTTTTAAATACCTTTTTTTTAAAACAACTACTGAACTCTACAATTATCTGCCTGTCACAACTCGTTAGACACAGAAGAAATTCATAGTTGCTGTTAATTGCTTGCCATAACTATTTTTTGTGTGTGTCGGTGTTTTTGCCTTTCTCTTTGTACGTGATCCCCTCCCCCCCTCTTGCGATAGCGCATTTTTTTTTTGCTCATTTGTCAGTCAATCACTATAAATGAACATCAGGTAATTTGCAAAAAAGCCGTCAAGGGAGGGCGGACCGTAAAATAGGACGCGAATGTGTGATTAAGTGTGTATTTCGTGTGAGTAAAGCATTCAACAGTGCTCCTCTTGGCATCGGCTAAACGGATGGTCAGTATTTTTCGAAAGAACGCATACCAAGATGGATTTCACACTGCGATTTCACGCTGCAGGCCTGAAGAAGGTTTCAAGTGAAGACAGCTGTTTGAACAGTCAATGGCATTGTATCGACACGAGGAATTTTTTCTTGTCAGCAAAAGGACCAAGACAAGTCCTCCTCTCGAAGCGTTGACTCAAGCTGCATTCTCACCTACACAATTTTTATCCCACCCGGCTATGTGCAGTACGCAAAAATTCAAACGCGAAATCATTTACTGTGTGTGTGTGTGTGTGTGTGTGTGTGTGTGTGTGTGTGTGTGTGTGTGTGTGTGTGTGTGTGTGTGTGTGTGTGCGTGTGTGCGTGTGTGTGTGCGTGTGCGTGTGTGCGTGTGTGTGTGTGTGTGTGTTACAAGCCATTATTTTGTCTGGAGCAAAATTCTAAATCCCGCAATTAACAAAGCTGCACGAGCGTTCCAAGACACAATAACGAAGACTAGGCACATCCATGTACTATTTACACTATTCTCATGGTGCCACGGATTAACGATTGCAGCGCCACAGTTACATCTAATAAGTATTGTGGCAAGTTTTATGGCTAGATATAATCTGTAAACAAGTGATATTATCTTATTCACGGTTCAACAGCCGCATTGAAGACAATTGTAGAAGCATTGGCCCTAGAGGCACTCTGTCGTCACGAATCTCTATCTCTGAATTATAGTGACACAGTAGTTGTTCCACCTATCTCTGCGTCTTTATTTTTTTTTTTTCAGAGTGCCTTCTCTGGACCAAGTGGATATACAAGGATTCCGTGCCACAGGACTGCATCGATCACTTTGTAGACGCGTGTGGCGCCGTACCTCCGGCACACAGCAGAGACCTCTGCCCCGATGGAGAAGGGGACTACTAGATCAACGGGGCCCATGGCTGTCCTCCGAGATGGCGAAGGGGCTCCGAAGGCTTTGGAGGCCGTAATGGTGCACTGCTGAGCATTAGAGCGAGCAAACTTATGGAGTTATGCTAGATGTCCAACTAATATCGGCAGTAACGAAAAAAGTGAAACCAATTTTGTTAACAACCACGTTATGCTCTGCATTTGTGTCTGCGAGTGTGTCATAATACCCAACGTCTTGAGTGTCGAAACCGCACGATGCATATGAGGCACGCCCTTGTGAAGGGCTCCACATAGCATTTAAACCAAGTGGTGTTCTTCAACGTACACTGACTTAGCGAAGAACACGGACCTCTGGGATTTTGCGTCCACCGAAACATGTCACCGCCGCAGGCGCAATCGAACCCATCACCTCCAGTTCAGAAGCGGAACGCGGTCAACGCTGTTCTACCGAGGTGGACAAGAATGATGATTGAGTGAGTGAGTGAGTGAGTGAGTGAGTGAGTGAGTGAGTGAGTGAGAAAAAGAAAGTCATGTTCAACAAATCCGAAACTTCATGTTTAGTCAGAGCAGGCCGCAGAAACTTCGATCTGCATTTAGATATGTAACGTTGGCATCTTCAATAGACGGCTCGCCTTGAAGCAACGTCGCTTTGACTGGCAACCCTGTAAAAGAGAGGAATTAAAAAAAGAAGAAGAAGGAATTGAGTTATCATTCTTGCGGCTGTGCGCCGTGCCCACCGGACGTGGGCCTGAAATTGTACCGTAATTCACTAATATAGTTCTGTAGTGGGATAATCATAAGATGAACAGGTGAAGTCCCTCGTACTGGCTGGCCGATGTTTCGATAGGAGGACCTATCTTTTTCAAAGGTGCCGTGTCATCCTTGGCGTGTTAGTTTTAAAGGGGTTAGTGGTGACGTGATCACTGATGACACGTCATCACGGATGACACACCGCCTTTGCAAAAGATAGGTCATCATAAGTAAACGTCGGCCAGCCAGTCTGAGGCACTTCCCCTATTCATCTTATGATTATCCCACTACGTTGTTTTCATCTGTCGGCTCCCATCAAGATTTTTAATATAGTCCTGGTGTGACGTAACAGAGAAGTTGCGTTTCCTGTGCAACCGCCCTGTTACCGACTTTAAAATCCGACGGTGAATATTTCCAATTTCGTGCAACTTTTGTCGTTTCTAAAAAGGGCACATACAAATCCTTAAAATAAACAAATGCCCTCGAACTAATACTGCTGAATATAGAGTTCCTGTAAATATTCACTCCATTGTCACTTGAGCTGCGGCAAGTACTTCAGACGCAACCCAGAGTTGCTGCGCGAAAACCCACAGGAGCCGGACATACATTGAAATTCTTTAAATTGAAATTCCGCATTGTCCGAAAAAGAAACATCGCGTAGTATGGCATGAAATATTTAACTTAAGCGCACTTCATTAGACCCGCGTTCATCAGTTAGTTGTTCTCGTCATGAGATCTCTGAAACAACGCATGTACGCATGACCTCGATCGTGACGTTTGTACGGGCGCTACGCTCAGTGGCTCCATTAATCATACACATGGGGCATTTTCTTTTGTTTCTCACACCATCGCATCTAGATCTACAGTGGTATGAAGTCGCTAGAACATCGTCTGACGTCATGGTTTATTGTCAATTTCAAAAAGCGCGCCATGCAAGAAATAATCTTTAATGTCAAAATAAAATATATCTAAACATTCCTAACACTTCTACTTGCTTAGAGCCATCTTTATGTGCAGGATATTTGCACGAGTTCAACTCTAGTTCGATAATAGGTGTCAATAATTTTTCAATAGGACACTCTCCTGAAAATGTGTCTTCCTCACACTCGCAAATTACTGTCACAATTCCAAAATCATCATGCTTGTCACGAAAAGACACCTAGTGAGGCAGAAAACACTCAAAAAGGGAGATGCGGCTTGCGACGTTCCATTGATGTTCCTGTGCCCAACGCCGTGTCCTTGAGGTTTCGACGACGTCTACTAGGTCATACGTAATTCATGACCAATAAAAATTATGTGCGTGGTCCTCTGAAGGCACCTAACGTAAGAAGCTTCAGAAATTTGATTGAGATATACATTAGCCAAAATACGGAAAGCACACGTTCAAATCCGTGACATGAGGTGTTGTGATTTTGGCGCGAAATTCAAGCGTTACACCCTGGCTTAATTTGCTCCTCCATTTAAAAACCTTCGAAGATGAAATTAACGACTAAGTTCTCAGATTACGATTCATAACTATCTGAACCAATTCATTGTTTTTCTTCAGCGTCCCATTTAGGTGTAGAGCAACGCTGAGCATGCCGGGAGTATTCCCGTCCCTTGCTTACTCGATAGGCCGTATTCTGTTCTGGTCCAGTTTCTTGAGCTGTCTGTCCTGGACGTAGAGAATGAGCGAGTCCAGGAGCGAGAAGAAGGACATTCCAAGCCAGATGCCAACGTAGCCTCCGAGATATCCGAACACCTCGATGAACTGCGCATTGAGGCAGGAGCATAACCACAAAATGGAGCACAATGTGGGCGGAACGAAACCCGACATATGTGAACCTAGAATGCTGCTGATGATGATGATGGTGATGATGATACCTGTTATTCTGGCACACAACGACAAAGGGGGATCGGCCAAGAACTGCAATTCCGCACGACTGAAAATGCATCTTCTTCTTTTTCATATCTTTCTGTTTTACAGAAGCTTGATGTACTGATTCTTGATTTAAACAACGTAGGCCGACAGACATGGGCACAAGAGAAATCATATCACAAACTTGTTTAGCGATAAGTGTTCTAAATCCTGCTCATTTAGCACAGGATTTATAAATACTGCCAAACTTGAAGAAGTGCGTCGCACGTTCGCCCAGCTATTCCCGTTCGTGAGTTCGCACTGCTCCGCTTAGCAAACCGTCGATGACGTCACTGTTTGAGGTAAGTGTGTATGGTTTCTCCGGCAGATGCAAAATCTCGTTAGGGAGACTGATGCGCTTTGATAGGCTGTATAGACTTCCTGCTTGTTGCGGCAGTTGAGATGCGCGACGTGCGCAACGGGTTCTGTCAGACTGTGTCCTTCAGATTTAGCGAGAAAGCGCCAGAGAAGCGCTGGCGGGAACAGCAACCGCGTACTTGCCGAGGCGGTGGCGCTTTCTATAGTGTGAAGCGGTTGTCATCCGCACGTTTTCGAAGCGTTTTCAACGACATTTAGTTATTGCGATTAGTTCTTAGTTATATCAATGAATTCTTTGAATTTAGATCTTGTTCTCTTGTTTTAACCCGCTCTTAAGCATTGTCAGCAGTGTTTTAGGCCTGTATTAGGCACTTGATTGTGAACGTGGTCACGCCGAATGAAATCTACGGACGACACTATGGGCCAATAAACTGCTTCGCACTTAGAATGGCCTTCGCGTTGCTTTGATCTCTTTTCCTGTGTCCGTGTTTGAACGCATATGCCTCATTTTATCATGTATACCACAACTGGTACTTTCACGTACTAAATTGCAGCAACAAGCAGCCTCCTGTCCTGTTCGTTTCAACTTCTTCGCTACCTGAGTCTGCGTTCTGGGATATCGATTCTTATTCAAATTACAGGGCATGTAATCTGTTCAGTGCCATTCAAAGCTCACGTCTTCGTCGGCCTGAGTGTTACTGCAAGCATTTACTATACACCAACGCTCGTAGCACCACCTCACGATGTTCTAATAAGAAAATTACTTATAACACGCATACATAAACGAGTGTATCTGGTCTACGGGCAAAGCAACACAATGTCGTGTTACGAATATAGCTACGTGGTATATCTAGCGTTATGGTATTCGAAAACTAACTGCTTTATCTGGAGAAGCCTAAAGAGTTTTCTTGTGAACGGAACGAAAAAAAAAAATGATAGTCTCTTTAGATCATTCTTGGGATAGCTCAGATGAAAGCAGCCGCTCTCACTTTTCATTCACCTGTAACTTACTTCAGCATTTTATTCGCTGTTAATTCACATTCTAAACAATGCGCTTAACTTTAACATTTGATTCGCTTCCGTTCACATTTAATTCACACTCAGTGACAAGGCATCACAAATGACTCACATTGAGCACTAAATTACGCTCTCTAATTACTTGACGAGCATACTTACTACTTTAAATAATCTAATTTCACATCTGACACATCTTTGAATTGAACTCTAACCCAGTGCATGCACTTGAGAATTAGCGATCACTTTCGGTTTCAGTCATGTACGGACCACGGAAGCCTGGACATTTTAAGTTCAACCCGTAAGCCATATGATCGAGGCTTTTCCCTCTAAACCTTACCGTGAACTTTTTCAAGTGCTGTAGGATGGTGTGTTTCTCGCTGGCGAAGAGGAGATTGATGGTGAACAGCTGGCTGCATCGAACAAAGAAAAAAATGAACAAAAGTAAGGTGGTTATTTCAACTTTCAGGCGTATAGTTACTCGCGCATCGCGCGAGGCAGAATTAGAAAACAGAACAAAAAGAAACAGAATGTCGTGACTCATGATAGAAGTCGCAAACGTAGCTTGTTGCCCCACCGCGGTGTTCTAGTGGCTAAGGTACTCGGCTGCTGACCCGCAGGTCGCGAGTTCAAATCCCGGCTGCGGCGGCTGCATTTCCGATGGAGGAGGAAATGTTGTAGGCCCGTGTGCTCCGATTTGGGTGCACGTTAAAGAACCCCAGGTGGTCGAAATTTCCGGAGCCCTCCACTACGGCGTCTCTCATAATCATATGGTGGTTTGGGGACGTTAAACCCCACATATCAATCAAACGTAGCTTGTTTCCACAGTTGTGAAAACTTATTCACCGCATGTGTATACCAGTTTCTGGTGAGTCACACATGAGCATTCTTACTATACCAATTTTGATTACTGCTGCTGCTCTTTACTATTAATTTTAACAGTACAACAGTACGCATATACTTGGCGGCTATGTCGCTTGCGGGTATCTTAATGCGTTTGTACTGCGTACACACGTAAGAAGATGAGTTTATCGCTAGGAAGCCACGTCTTGTATTGCTGAAATTGTCATTGCGTCAAACATAAAGCCAGTTTTACGCCTCAGAAAGTTGAGTAAACAATCGAGCTGTCAAGAAAGCGCAACCTGCTAGCGTTAACGGATTCAGTTTCTCTCCTTCCTTCTTTCGTTTTTCTTTCTTACTTGCTTTATTTCTTGCTTTCTTTCTACATCTTAGTATTTCTCTTCTGTCTTCTTTCACCTTTGTTATTTTTTTAATCTTATCTACATTGTCATCTCCCCTCCTTTTCTTTCTGTCCTCCACTTCATTGCTCCTTCCCTCACATCATTTCTCACCCCTTCTGATGCTGTACTATGCATTGCTATGCTATTCTGGGAGCTGCAAGGCCACTGTCTGTGACGCATTACTGATACCACATGCAAGGCCACATCATTATTCACCTTCTTTCCTTCTCCCTTTTTTCCTTCCTTGTCAACTTCACCTCCCTTTGCGATCCCTTCGCTAAGCTATACCGGTGTCACTGAATACTTCACGCAAAAGTTATCAAAGGACTCGGACTACACCATGCATGAATACATGATGGAAGATGATTTAGACTCCAACCAAAAAGTTTTTAATAAACCCTACGTTTCGCAACCGACTTGGTTCCTTCCTCAGGGGTGACTGCGGAGGCTACGCAGCACCGGCGTCTTCAAAGCACTCGCGGGGTAGATAATGACCCCCCCTCTCTCTCTCTCTCTCGTTTTGCCGTGGAGCGCAGTCCATGTGTATACACTGGGGGAAGGGTGCCGAGAGAGCGGTAGATGTTATGGGCTGTCCTCTGTATGTGCCACGACTCGAGTAACAACCTTCTCCTCCAGTTGGGCTCACTTTCATCTCCCAGTTTCATACCCAACCAGACAGACTTCTGTCGAATGTTCACATTCAAACACGTGCCAGCCTTCTCTGGCGCATATCCGCCAAGTTTTCTGCAACACCGGCCTCACTGAAACACTGCATTTCGCACGCGCGCGCTGCTGTGTTGTGGCCCCCTGGCCCCCTCAAGCATCACGCTTGTAGCTTTCTTGTCAGGGTGGCCTGCAACATTTCACTTTGTGCATCTTGTAAATAAAAATACTCGACTTCAATTGGCATTGAAAGAAAGTTCCAGTGGTCAAATTTCAACGCGTCTCTCCTCCCATAAAGCGCATTTCGTGAGAATTTAATGCCGAAAGTTTTATATTCTTTAGAAGCGTGGCAGCTTGGGCTAGTCGGTATGACATGACGATAGTTATAGCGCGAGAACAGAACGACGACACAAAGACAAGAAGGACACGAGCGCTCGTGTCCTTTGTGTCCTTCTTGTTTCTATGTATGTCGTCGTTCTGTTCTCGTGCTATAACTATCGTCATGTTCTATATTATGTTTCACTTTTCTCCACACGTGCCAGTCCTGTTCGAACAAGGTTGTAATGATGTCGAGTTGTACGAGTAGATTCGAAAAACATGAGTGATCATATCTGAGTGACACAGGTGAATGAAAAAAAAAAACATTTGCCCTATCTGCAGCGTGTCGACCTCGTTTGCCAAGCAGGTCAAAATGTAATATTCTCCTAGCTGCCGGAGCATAATTAAAAGTGTGACCCGTTTTGTTAATAGATATAAACGTTATGATGGGAGCACAATTTCATTCATTTGTCGTGCATTTCCGTAATTATCCAGACATAACTCTTCAGAAATAAACAGCCCTTTGCAGGAGTCGTTATGCCATAAAAAAAAAAAGGTGCAAGTGGTGTTTCGAACTGTAGTAAGAAAAAGTTCTACAGAGTTGCGATGAAGCGATGAAAAACACTGCTAGCTAGTTCCAACAATAGATTGCGAGAGAAATAGTGAATATATTTGCGTGTGTTAATGCAGCGTGAACGATGTCGCATTATTTTACTAAGGTCAGTTCTCGATGAGCATTGAAAAGGCTGGAATAATTAACCTCACTGTGGAATTTTCGATTGTTTGTGGTATAAAAGATAAACAAACTTAAGTTATGATGCTGTGATCTGTGAATTCCAAAACGTCGGCATAGACAAAACTATACGCCGGTAGTTTGAAATAATGAGTCGAAAATTGTCAGAAATCAGGGAGACGCAGCAATTGTTTGATGCCTCCACATTTACTTCTTCAGTAGCCGCAGACTCCCTAATAAAATATAACGACATCACTTGGTACAGTAATTAAGAAAGATAAATCAATTAGCTCTTTAATAACGGAGATTAGCGGTTACGTCAAACAGCATAATTGAACTACTTCTTTCGAAAAGACCACTGAATAGCTTCGAGCTTTCGAAAACACTGCCTTTAATAATAAGTGCAAGGTAACAAAACTCGACCAAATTCAACGGTGAAACCAAACCGAAGCGTGGACTACCATAGTCTTCTGGGAAGTCCAGAATGGGTTACTGTCGTTATATCGATCATCAAATTTCAACCGAATTTGTAGTGTCGGGGTGCGGCCTGCGCTAGCGATTGCAGCATGCATCGCGCGTATGTTAACAAAAGTGGAAGAACTACAAATCCGTAATGACTGTCTCGAACAGTGGTATCATTCTAGCCGTGTTCTTGTTGCGCTCATCGGCGCTCCAGCATGGGGTTCGCGTTTGATATTGGTTGAACCTAATTGCTCTACAATAATCACTATAGAGGCCGCTTTTTGTAGTTTTCGAAGCTTCGTTAGTTTCTTCCCACGAATAATTCAATTCTTTTAATTGACATAACCACCTAACTCAATAATGAAAGAGTTAATATAGGCTTGTTACTTATTGTTTCAAACACTCTAATTAAGCGTGCTAAGCACTGTAGTAGATTCGTGTGACAGACGGGTCGTTGTCATTACCTGTTTTATAACACACGTGACATCCATATGCATGCGATGTACGAACATGCATGTGCAAAGTATGCACACGTGTGCACATATATATGCACATAATCGCCCGCGTTTGCGAATAAATCTCTCATTGACTTTGCTTGCTTACCTTTCAGGACGTTTAGGAGGTGACTCCTCGTAGTCCTGAAATACCAGTAAAGTAGTCATGAATAAAGCGTTTGGGTCGTTTTCATTGGATTATTATTATTATTATTATTATTATTATTATTATTATTATTATTATTATTATTATTATTATTATTATTATTATTATTATTATTATTATTATTATTATTATTATTATTTTATTATTGTATTTGGGTACCCAGTAAACATGAAAACAGAGCAATTATAAGGTGCAACAGCCTGACAACTGCATATAGAGGGGAACAACGCCCTGCCCACGTTTTTGGGAAGGAGAAACATAGAAGAAATGAAGGTAAGGAGAAGAAAGAGAAAAGAAAAAAAGAAAGAAAAAACACACACGTAAACATGAATTGGTAGTCACATAGAAAAATTTATATGAACGCGGGACCAAGACAGTTTTCTTTCGCAACGGTAATATATAGAAGCAACCAGGAAACATGAGAGCCTACACTCCTAATCTGGTTCCGCGTAAGCGTCTTAGATATATCCAGGAAGCTAGTCCTCTTTTCGTCTAGTATCCAGGCTAGCTAGCGCTTCAATTGAAAGATATCCAAGAGTGTACCGACCATAGAATAAGCTTATTCGCTATGCATATGCAAAGGTACATATACATACGTTTACGCATGTACACACAGAGTTACCATGACATTTGTCCGCTAGCATCACAATTTGACAGAGGAGAACCGTTGAACGTCAGTGACAGACAGTTAATTAGGTTTGTGTCAACCTTAAAAAAAATCGCGAAGTGCGCCCACTTCACGTCGCTTGTTGTCAGAGCGTGTTCTTCATTTTCAAGCCGCACAACGAGTGACGCCAAGTCACTTACCCCCGTATTCACAAACGCTCCTCGACTCGACTTTCACACTTCACTTGACAGAGTTGAGCAGTGCTCCACTGTTCGGTTGAAAATGACGCCGCGTTACTCTAGAATACCAGCAAATTATCGCTGATATGCAGTGACTTTTCCAGCCTAAACATAGCGCTCCCATCGGCTTTCTCAAGTGAAGGAGGAGCGTTAAGTGAAGGGGCGTTCTAGAATACGGGGGTTAATGCCAATGTTTTAAATGTAAGGAGCGTGCAGGTCACGAGTTTGGCGTATACCATAGTGTCTTCGAACTGACACAGGTTCCGCGTCACTCAAGTTTCGAGGCAGTCGCCCGTTAGGGTCCTTTTTTTTTTTTTTGATGACGTTGTACGTCGAAAACATCTGCCATTCGTTTGTTTCCTTGCTTGTTTTTTGGTTTGTTTGTTTTCGCGAGTTTTGTACGATGTAAAACTTACACTTTCACGTCGTTTGATTGTCGTGGTAGCGGTTTAACAGAGTATTTTCCCGACGAATCTGTCGTTTATTTGCTTGTTTGTTTGTTAGTTTTTGGTTTGTGTGTTTTAATGGCGGCGCACTTTTAGGTGGCCGGGCTGACGTAGGCGTCTGGCGTTAAGCTGGCAATACGAAATGTAGCAGTCATCTGTAATAATAATAATAATAATAATAATAATAATAATAATAATAATAATAATAATAATAATAATAATAATAATAATAATAATAATAATAATAATAATAATAATAATAATAATAATAATAATAATAATAATAATCACGATTGGTTGATTGTTTGATTGTTCCTTGTAATACTGGCGCACACCCACAAAGAGGGATCGCCCAAGAACTGGGTGGCAGGATCTTTAATTTAAAGACTTATGGCTTCACAAACACAAAGTGACTTTGCAGCCCGCGTTAGCGCATGCAAGTCTTTCTCCTCTTGTTCTACGAGCGTCTTGACCATAATACTAAGTGCAAAGTATACTCTAGGTAACACCGCGTAACACCACGAAAATTGGAACCAAGCAAACAATAGAAAGAGAGACACAGAAAAATGGGGAGAAGATAAAAACGAATAGGAATAAGCAGAAAAAATGACTAGAATCTTGAAACTACAAAAGAAAGCAAGAGAGGTGGAAAGAAAAAGAGAAACGAAGAGAAATAAGCTTGGCTGGCCAGCTCCGAACATTCTTTGGGATTGGCACTATACTACAACGCAAGCTTATAATTTGTTTGTTAGCTTAAGAAAATATGTAAGGAAAAGATTGCAATGACGATACACGGTCTGTGTAGCTTCAATAAAATTACAAACACCACCAAAGGCATCCCTGCGACAATATCCCGAAAGGGAGCAACCATAATTCAGTATACAGTTTCTGTGGTGAAGTTTAAACGTGCATGTTTTGAAAACGGCAATGAAGGAAAGTATCTTTGTCCGCCGTGGCAGTGTAGCAGTTAGGGTGTTCGGCCACTGACCGTATACGTCGCTGGTTCGATCTCGGCTAAGGCGGTCGCATCTCGATGGAGGCGAAATGTTTGAGGCCTGTGTGCCATCGAAATTTCGGAGCCCTCCGCGATGGCGTCTCTCATAGTTATGTCGTGGTGTTGGAACGCAAAACCTGAGGTGCTGTTATTATTAAAGCATCTTTCTAAGCAACGAATATCCTCGACATTAGAAAAAAAAATAACTTTTAATAGCTCCTATTTCGATGGAGGCGGAAATGTTGTAGGCCCGTGTACTCAGATTTGGGTGCACGTTAAAGAACCCCAGGTGGTCGAAATTTCCGGAGCCCTCCACTACGGCGTCTCTCATAATCATATGGTGGTTTCGGGACGTTAAACCCCACATATCAATCAATAGTTCCTATTTCGTCGCAAAATTGACAATGGGCGACACCGTCATATCATCCTTACGTAAACGTTGTCACGTGGTCGTGACGTAGACGAATTTCGCAGCCAATTTTGATGGCCAAAGAGCGCCAGTTCATGGGAACAAGGAATGTGCGACAATGATTGTATATTAGCGCTGTATACGGGCCAATAAAATTCCTTCGCAGTAAGGCGGGTGAAAAACATACAAGTAATAAAATCATGACCATGCCGTGAAAGGTGTGTGTGGTGTGAATAGGTGACAAAAGTTGGTGATAATGAAAAACGATGGTGGACATGTATGGCATTAGCACAAGTACCTCACACGTTAGTACCCTTGCGTCCAAGGGCCGTGAGGCAAGTGCTTTCCTGTGTAGCCACCGCAGTAAAAACCTCTCTGGAGAGGTTGTGCTACGGAATGCCCGGGTATATGATATGAAAATTATGAATTTCTTTTAAAAACGCTAACAATGATTTATTACTAAAAAGCGGTTCCCTGCCAACGAACATTGCAGGGTGTAGAGGTATATGTTGTCGGTAGGATAATGGAAAGTGTTGTCTTCTTAGAGTGTCTAACTGTTTACATTGAATTAAAACGTGAAGAACTGTTAATGCCTCACCACATTTATCACACAATGGTGGATCACCACCGGACAAAAGATGTGTGTGTGTCGTGTATGTGTGTCCTATCCTGAGTCTTGTTAGTGTTACCTCTGTTAGACGTGATTTTGATACTGGTGGCCAATGGCCAAGGTGTGGCTTGATAACGTGTAGTTTGTTTTGTGTGTGTGTATCCCACTTGCTCTGCCAGTGGTCCCTGAGGTTTCGTTTGAGAGACGGCCTAAGATCAAGGGCCGGGATCGATATGGACGTAATGGCGGTGCTCTCATGGACGGATGCAGCGAGCTGATCCGCCCTCACGTTGCCTTGGATCTCACGGTGCCCTGGCACCCAGCACACTACAACATGTTGTTTGAGTGTGTAGAGTGTGCACAAAATGGAGTAAAGTGAGACAAGGACCGGGTTTTTTTTGTTTTTTTAAGACTGTGCAGAGCCGTTACCACACTGAGGGAGTCTGTATAAATTACTGCTTTTTGTATTTGTAATTCTTTGATGTATTTAGCTGCCACAAGTATCGCGTAAGCTTCCGCTGTGAAGATACTTGTGCGTGGATGTAGAGGGCCAGCATCCGAAAAGGATGGGCCGACAGCAGCGTAGGACACAGAGGAGTTAGTCTTGGAGGCATCTGTGAAGAACTCAGGACGTGTGTATTTGTGTTGAAGTTCCAAAAAGTATGTTCGGATATGGGCAATAGGTGCATGTTTTGTAACTTCTAGGAAAGACACATCGCAGTCTATAGTCTGCCACTGCCACGGTGGCGGGTATGCTACAGGAGCCATTAAACTGTGTTCAAGTGACACTGCAGTTTCTTCAGCTAGACACTTCAGGCGAACTGAGAAGGGCTGCCTCATCGAAGGCCTGTTTTGAAACAGAGTTGAGCTCGACAAATCATTAATTGTAGAGTATGAGGGGTGCTTCTTGTCTGCTTTCACCTTAAGGAAATAAACAAAGGACATGTAAGTTCTCTGCAGATGAAGCGACCACTCATTTGACTCAACATAAAGGCTTTCTACGGGGCTGGTGCGGAAAGCACCCGTAGAAAGGCGGATGCCCAAATGGTGCACGGGGTCCAGCATCTTCAAGGCACTTTGAGTAGCAGACTGATAGACAACGGCCCCATAATCTAAGCGGGTGCGAATGAGGCTTCTATAGAGGTTCATGAGGCATTGCCTATCACTACCCCACGTAGTACGTGACAACACTTTTATAACATTCATGGCTTTTAAACATTTTGTTTTTAAATACTTGATGTACGGTACGAAGGTCAACTTGTTGTCCAAGATTAAGCCTAAGAATCTATGCTCGGCTTTGACGGACAGACGTTGCCCGTTCAGTCGAATGTCAGGTTCCGAGTGCATGCCTCTCTTTCGAGAGAACAAGACACACGTGCTTTTTTGTGGGTTAAGTCGAAATCCGTTTTCATCTGCCCATTTGGAGACCTTATTTAAACCCAGCTGAACATGCCGCTCACACATGGCCAAGTTGCATGACTTGAAGCCAAGCTGAACGTCGTCGACATATGTACAATAGAACATATTGCGGGGAATGGACAAGTGCAAAGAATTCATTTTGATAATAAAAAGTGTGCAACTAAGCACGCCACCCTGTGGCACGCCTGTTTCCTGGACAAATGTTTGGGAGAGAACACTGCCCACTCGGACACGGAATGTCCGGTTTGACAGGT